TTGATCCATTTCCCGTTCAGCACTTCCTGGTGCTGACTCGTGTGCCTCCCACTTTCCCAAAGAATGATGAATTATGCAGAGACGTGATGTGACTGACAATTCCCACGTATCACTGATCAGTCCCCAGAAGGGGCACCAAATTACATTCCACATATCAAGTAATAATAATCTCCACGGCAGCTCCTTTGGGTGCCGTCCAGGGGTGAAAGGTGATGTAGGAAGTGGTTTTTCTTTCTTGTTTGTGTCGCTAATCCTCCTCATCCTGTCTTCCAGAGTCAAGTGGGCGGGAACAGACGAAAATACCAACCTCAAAATGTACGTCATACGCTAGGTTTAGGTTTGACTAAGATTGACAGTGTTCAGGTATATCTTATGAACTAGTTGAGAAAACTATATGCAATGTTTTGTTTACAATAACCTGTTTGGTTGTAGTGTGACCTAATATGGGGTGGTGTATACCTTTTGCTGAGGTGACCTTTTGTGTGACAACTGTAGGCATGGTGCCAGGATGTAATGTGGTAGGGAGAGATCACATTTCATGGACCTGTTGCTGTCCTGTCAGTCATTTGCAGTGTCATAACAACCATTTCAGTCAACTAATCAGACTACAATACAATAACCAGTCAGAACAAATGTCTAGGGGGTTTGGTCTAACACCCATATGTTATAATATCCTTGTCTCTGCATAATTTCATAATGTACGTCAGTGTTGTCACACACCCCTCCCACCTCCACCTGCCCTGATCATTGTTGTATTATGTCCCCTGTTACATCCTTCCACGGTGCCTGTTGTAACCCTTCAAAGTAGCTGTGTAAAGCTGCTTAGCATGTTTTGTCAATTAGCAATACATGTATTTCATTTGTATAGTGTACAATGTTTTATATAGCTGTAGGCAATCAGTACAAATATGCAGTAGAATCAGTTGTTCATCACTGAATTTTATTACCCTGCAACCCTCAATGTAACTAGCATTGTTTGTAAGTTTAATTCTAAGCTTGTTGCAGGTGGGATTATGTGTTGCATAGGATTATTATTAGTCAGCATTCTAACAAATATTTATTTCAATGTATTTATGGTTTGCACTAGACGTTCTTCAACTTGATCTAATTTTTCCCGCGCAGCTGCAAACTCAACGTCGTCGTACAGCAAGCGGCACAACGTGGAGAATGACGTGAAGGAGAACGCGTCTCCGATGAACAAGAAGTCTAGCAGCGGAGCGGTCGGCGGGAAGGAGTCGCCCAGTGTCACCAACAGGTCCATCTCCACGCCGGGGAGTAACCCCACCAACAGGAAAAAGTCTGCCACGCCTAAGGTAAGCCATCGTAACAGTCTGGATCCTCACGGTTACAGTACCTCTCCACTTTGTTACGTACCTGGTAAAATACTTCAGGAGAATTAAAGTAAGGAAATCTGAGAAATGTGAAATGGCACAACAGGAGCAAAGGTTAATAAACAATGAATTTTGAACTTTTAGCACATTGGTTAATAATAGAAGTACAGGGGATATTAGGAAAAAAAGTTCATTTTTCAAATGAAAAAATGTCATCACTAGGGCTAACCCATTGTGATAGCCTTTAACTAGTTAGTTGGGCAGCCCCGGCTGTACATGTAAGTTATGCTGCAAGGAAGGAAACCAATAGACAATATGCAGCAGTTACTGACCTGTACTGAAGAAAACCAAGACAGTACATGTATACTAAGGTTACTGACCTGGTCTCCACAGTAACAGTGTGGGAGAGCCTGCAATGATGTGGTGGTAATTTGGAAAAGATCTGTATTATCATCCTATAATGACAGATTTTGTTGGAAATTCTACCTTCCGATCTTCCGGTTTGCCCCACTTCTGGGTACACCTTCGCGTAATCCTGTCAGATGTTGCTATGATGGATCAAGACAATTTGACCACTAACCATGCATATGACTATGGATTATGCATGTGCATGGTTAGTCCGGCATCTTGTAACAATGCTTCAGGAACCAAAACCATGCAACCAGCAATTTGCCAGCCGGAAGTAGGACAGCCCCTGCGAAATGAAGGGCAAGAAGAACTGTCTGGATGAAGCGCTTGCGATATAAACTTTAAATGTTGTTGACTTTGAAACCCCCCTTAAAATTTACACAATTACAGAACTCACAATGTGTCTCTTAACTCTCTCTGTGTCGTGGGTTATCAGAGGTGGAGAAACTGAGGTTGTTTTGTCTGTCATCCCTGTCTTTTTGATTGCCTTTCTGTTCTTGTTTTTCCTGTAGCCAGGTATCCACCTGTTTTCAGCTTATGTCTGCTGCCAATTGGTTGCTACCTTGTTGGCAGGGTAGTGACCATTAGGAAGTAAACCAAAGCTGGAAAAGGCTGGATGTCAGGCTATGTTTTCAGTTTAACAGTCACTTGATAATATGTTTCACCTTTATACCCCCTCCCACCTGTGTTCCCCTGCTATCCCCCCTGTATCCCCCTGGAAGGCTGTGAGGAAGGTGTTGGGATGGAAGTTACCTGCAGAGTTGACAGACAAGCTGTCCAGTAGGGACTCTGAGAGAGTCAGAAACGTCAGTTTTGTATCTATGGCAATGATTTTGGGTGTTGGTCTTCCTTTTTTTGTTATTCCTGATTGTTTTTCAAGTTTTATGGTTTTTTTCTCAGTGTTTTATTTAATACAAACTGGTCACTCAAAATCTGGAAAGTCATTTTCTATGTATCAAATACATCTAGTTTGCAATCCTGGATTATGCCAAGATTTATTGTTGCTAAAGCATAGTTGATCACCCTCACTGTCGTGGTGTCAAGCTGACTGTAATATATTCCATGACCATTTCTTCAATTTTACAGATATTTGTCTTTCCATTCATTTGAGTGACCAGCCCACTTGATGTATCTGATGTATATTTCACATATAGGCATTTGATGTATAATTCACAAGGTAGAAACATCCTTGGTCCAGTTACTAACTTCTTCCTATGTTATCTACCTTGTTGCTGATGGTTGATTGATTCCATTCACAGCCCAACAGTGTGTTGCCACCCAGCATGACTAGGAGGAACACATACGTGTACGGAGAGAGAGGTGGGATTAACGCTGGCGACAGAGCGGGCTCTGGAACTCCAAACAAAGAAAGGTACGGCTACACTACACACAAACAAACAAACATGACAGCTGTCCTGTCTCAGTATAGAAGAGGTTGTCTGGTCAACCCTTTTCTTTAGTACTAACTTCCTCTGTCCTTAACTCTCCTAACACTAGTTGGACACCCTTGTTTCAACCACAGTTTTTGCATTGTTTTCCCATCATTAAGATCCCTTGGATGCTCAAAAACATCAGGAATGTATTCAGTCTCTGCAGATGTTCTATACTTCAGTATTTCCTCTGTAACTAAAGATTAGACCACAGAAACTTGATTTTAAGAATGCCATCTTGAGAATTCAAGCGGAAAAAGAAATGGATTAAACCCTTGTTTTGCAAAGCTCATTTTACAACATGTCCTCAAGCTTTGTCAGTATGATGCCAACAAATTGTCTCATTTTGAAATTGGTTTACAAAGGGCACATATAGCAGCTCCAAATTTGTGTGTAAGCATTGTCATATATCTCAAGTTAAGGAGATGTCCTTTTGGGGGAAACTGGCCCAAAACAGCAGGGATGAGTGGATGTCATCCATGAAATCAAGTTTGAGTGGACATAGATGAAAATAGCTTCCCTTTTTCGATCCAGCATCCAAGGGATGGTAGCATTTTAACTGTAGAGTTTTGTCACTTTGTAGTTTTTGTTTCCCGCTGGGTCTTCTCATTTAAGTGGTTCTGACATGCTGACCATGTCTCTTGCTCTCCATCTTTCCTCCTGCTTGCCTTGGTTCACCTCGCTGCTGCATTTTGTGTGTGGACTGACTGACGTACAGTATAAGTAGTGTGCCTCAGCCGGCTAAACCACGGGGGCATCAGAAGTCTGCCTCGACGTCAGGCCATCCTGCGGCTATGGGGCTACCGCCCATCGACGACGCACTGGCCGGACTGAGGCCTAGGTGAGGCCGGACTTAACCAGTTTTGCTCGAAACAAGCAGCTGAGTTATGCTTCGTTAACAAAGTGCCAAACGAACAAACAAACAAACGCAAGCATATCATCCCGCGCTGACATGCACAAGAGCTTGTGTGAAACGCAGTGTGTGATGCTACCATGTTCCAGTCTTGTACAAGGTCTTAAGTTGGTTGCTAACTGCCACATAGTGCGCACTTTTATGTTGAAACACCCCTCACAGTAGCACTCCAAGTAACGATCTAACATCTGCCGCTCTGTATGACCATCTTTTGCAATTTTCCTGCCCTTTTCAGGATGTCTTCCAGTGCCAGACCTGAAAGAAAATTTCATGACCTCACCTTATTTTTTTCAGCTCCCCTACCTACAAAAATTATTCTGGTTTGCAGAAATGATGTGTTAGTGAATTTTCCCCATTTTAGGAGAGTTCAAAGAGTCAAACAAATTGTATAGTCTTTGAAATGTGGCCCAGAATTTTTTCTTTTTGCATTGCAGATGTTTTCAGCCCAGATGTTCTGTGTTGCCAAAATTTTGTTGAACTGATGCCGTAAAGAGCAGTGCACTTTCCTAGCCTCACAATTCCAGACAGAATTCCATGTAAAAAAGCTCAAATGCTGAAATTTATATCCACAAATTTGGTCCAATTTGTAGCAAAATGACTGCTTTCTTTTCCAGTCCCTTGAAGAGTTCCCTGGCAGTCAGTTTTCTGTGTGTGTTGTTCCAGTCCATGTTGTGAAAGAGAGCTCAGCATCACTAATTCCCTTACTGACCTACTACTTCTGCCCATCCACCAGCACGGCTCCGGGGAAAAGGCCTCATCAGCTACCTTCTCCCACCATCCCGTCGTCACAAACACGCTTTCCCCGCGGCACCGTCAACCGCAGCACGTTCCACGGTGGGACCAGCATACGAGAGCGCCGCCACGCCACATACAATGGCCCGCCGGCCTCTCCTGGCGGTCCCATGGACACAAATAGCGTAACCGGTTCTCGTAGAAGTTCCACGTCCTTCTTCAGTAAGCTGTCCTCCAAGTTTAGCAGAAAGTAAGTGTAATGATCCTTGTTGGGTTCTGACGACGGACTCCTGCCTTCACTCATGTCACCTCACCTGCATTCCATGTTGTGCCATAGTGTTGTAAACATGTTGCTTATTATGAGCTTGTGCCTGAGAAGAAGTAATTAAGTTCGAAAAGACATGAAAAAATTTGAAGAGAAAGAAATCCATCCAAATTACCCAATGTTCAGTAGATTGCATGTGTTTGAGTCTCCTCTATTCTCTGTCGGTCTACAAAAAGTAACGTTGTTTCAAGGATGAAACAATTACAACCTTCAAATTGATATGTATCACTTTTTGCATGCATTCTTATACCAAGACTTCAGTTTCTCTTGCATTTCTGATTCACCTTAAATCTTCAGAAGAAAAGAAATTGAGCATGAGTATTTGCACTTAAATAAGTTAACTATGGAACTCCTTGTGCATGTATTTGTTTAACACTCCATATTATTAGACAGACACACCCTCACACTTGCATTTGCCATCATGTCGGTCCGCATGCTAAGAATGTAGCTCACTGACGAAATCAGTCCTTCTTTCCGTGAAAGGTCGGTTGCTGAAGAGACAGACAAAGACAAGCCGCGGTCACTGCGCTTCACGTGGAGCATGAAGACCACAAGTTCTATGGATCCCAACGAGATGATGAAGGAAATTCGCAAGGTCTTGGACGCCAACCAAGTGGATTATGAGCAGCGGGAGAAGTACCTCCTGTTCTGTGTCTACGGGGACGCAAGGGACGACAACCTGGTGCAGTGGGAGATGGAGGTCTGCAAGCTTCCACGGCTCTCGCTCAACGGTGTGCGCTTCAAGCGCATCTCTGGAACCTCCATCGGCTTCAAGAACATTGCTTCTAAAATAGCAAATGAACTGAAGTTGTAATGACGTTGCTAGTGTTGACCTTTACTGTGTAGACGCTTCCGACTTCAGTGTTGCCCTGTGTGCGGCAGGGAAAGGATGCTGACGCACACACCATCATGTCTCCTTGTTGTGACCTGTACCAAACAAAGCTGCCAGAAGGGAGACGTTAAGGTCAGCTAGGGAAGAAAACTGTTTAGTGCATGTAACAGGTGGAGGAAAAGGGTTAAAAAAACAAGGTGGGAAGAGAAGAGATAGGATAATTGCTGTGATGCGACCCAGTGTACAATGCTAGAGGAACAGGCGCTGGAGGTCGTAGTCATGAAAATTGGTGTTTTAAGTGTAATTTTCAGAGCATGTAGGAAAATATTTAATAGAAAAAACATAGTTTTGACCTCCGTAAATCAGGGCAGTAACAAATCATGCCAAGTAGAAGGCAGTCCCACTGTTGATTGTTAGAGTGTTAGGCTAAGATAAACTGTTGGTCGTGAGAAGCTACAGATTAAGACCATAGGAATCTTAGTTCCAACATACCAGATTGTAAATTGGTAAAAAATCTGTACATTTTCTATAAGCCACATAAGAACTGATGTGTCAGAGGATCTGCATATCTGACAATGTCTGCAATAGACGTTAGTATAACAAGCACAAATGTCGGGGTTGTTTCCCATTTGGCATGCGTGCAAGCTGTACCATATCCGTGCAACATGCCCTCTTCTCTACTTGCCAAAAGTAGGATGATTCTCGCTCCCATCCACACATGCTGTAAGGTATGCTTGTAAGGTCGCCATCGCCTGCATGTATATATGAGATATCTGGGAGCCCTGCAGAAGGGCAGTGCAACTAGGAAGGAACCGGCGTCATTACTTCTCCTGTTCTAACTGTCAGCACGCTCTGTAGTTACTAACAACCTCGTAGGGAGTATATGCCAGGCTTTGATTACGATGTAGATGTGGTTCCCGTTGTTTTTTTGCTAGCCACAATGCTGGAGCCATGCATTTTTATTGCCTTCAGATTCTTTACATGGCCTTAGAACCTTGTGTTTGTACTGTTTTTAATTCTATTTAGCTGTAGTTGGATTTTTGGAATTCAGTATACAAAACATGTTGCCTATTTCAAACTGCAAGAATTGGACTCGATTTATGTACAAAATCTATTTATGGGCAATAATAATGTATATTTGTAAAACAAGTGTCATAGACCAGTCTTGAATTGTGTAAATGTACATATTCCGATGTTAGCAGCCTGTGTTGCATCGCTCAGAATGTCGGAACCCTAGAATTCTGAAAGGCGGCGTTAAGCCATGCACACTGCAATCCAGGTAGTTATAACTGGCACGTGCACCCCTCTCCCTTACCTACTGTACATGTACAGACCATTTCATTTTTGGTTTTCTGGTAATCCAATTTTCTGACTCAAATAAAGGGTTCCCTTTGACCAAGTGGACCTGAGGAATGGTGTTGGTGTGTTTGACTGCAATCATTCGTTTGTTTGCAACATAAATGCTAGGAATGTCACCATTAGATCAGTCACACCTTCTGTCTGTAGGGCTTCCAATTTGCATCACTTCTAGGGTGAAGCATTTCCATGCTAAGGCCATACTGACTTATTTTTATGGATGACATCCTCTGAAGCCCCCCAAACTAGTGTGCATGGGTGAATGAGAAAAATTTGGCCAGAAAAAAAACTGCAAAACCAAAGGAATACAAAGCTGGTATTGTGGTAGTACATAGTGACTTTTACATGCTGGCCTGTTATGTTGTGGCTTTACTGAGTCTGCGCTGTACCGAGTTCTTGAGTTTCACGGAGCCTTGGTACCATTCTCTGTAGTTGCCGCCAGCTCCCTAGCTATGAAGGACAGCACCCAAACCAGAGCCTTGTCGGAGGTGATTTTTTTTTTTTGAGAACAGGTAAAAAGAAATGCGCGTGCGGATGTCATCCCTAAAATTAGATCAGTGTGGCCTAATTCAAAATTTGGCGGGTGTTAACCCTACCAGTACTGACACAGAATACCCACCCCAAGACCATGGTGTGAACAACCTGCCTGCACCTGTCCACAAGAGGTCAGGTGACCAGGACTTGTGCTGTTGCCATGGGAACAGGACATGGTTGGTATCACCACAGAGTTCTTGGAATGCTGTCACTCATACCAGTCCTGGATTTGGTGTTTACCCTGGCTGGATTTATTAACTGCTGTACATCAGCATGAAGTAAGGCCATAGCATCTTCAGAGAAGTATGTTCAGTATACTGCAACATCTGCAAGTGCTTGCTTGTGTCAAGTGCTGGCCTCCATTACTTCTAGTGACCGTGACATTGATGGTGACCATTTATACTATATAGGATGGTCTAACATCAGATCTACCACATTACAAATATAGTTGAAAGACACGAGAGTTAAATGACCTTTGTGCCTTTATTAGACATGAAGGCCACTTCCTGCAGAGGTCAAATGCATAATACCACTTTCTGAAGACACTTCAACCAAAATTTTATCTAGTAGTTTCTATCACCATGGATGCTTTAAATGTAAGTGAAATCAAACCAAATATACTCATCAGTACTGTATTCATTCCTATTGTAACTCTAGCCCATTCCAATGGTCAACTCCACAAAAACTCTGACAGCATTCTGTCTCAGACTCCTCACTGCAAATACTGGCTGCAAGTCACTGTAATCCACACTGCAAATACTGCCAGCAAGTCACTGGTTAAAGGTAGTACAGCTTCATTACTGGCTGTACTTTCTGTATATATTTCTTTAGTGTACAAATACCAGATAATCATGAGTATTTATCAACATTTAATGGAGCTTACCACATTTATTTCTAAATGCCCTTGAATACAACACTTTCTTACTAAAGGCAGTGTACATTGTATTTTCATATTTCAAAATTGCCACCTGTCACGTGTGGGTTGAACTGCAGAAATTCAGCTTGTTTGCTGACTTTTACAAAATCATTAGGTACAGTCATATACATACACATGTTCACAATACATGTATATACAAGTTCCATATAAAATATTGACAGACACGATTTTTAACTCTTTGATGCCCCTGTACATCTACCAGATTGTACATTTGTACGATAAACTCTTGGGAGATGGCCGCAGAACACAAGGTCTGTGATGTTTCCCTGTCATCGTAACCCTTTGACCCCCTGTGCATCCACTATGTAGTATGATGGAGTATTGGGGAGATAAGGGGAAAACATGACCTCCAGGCTCCGCACCACGGCAGGGCTGCCGTCAGCACACTGCACGACATGTTCCGTCCTGGACACCATCAGCCGTGTGGTCACCAGGCTGGACCACACTAGTCCCAGGGCTGGGATCACTTTCTGAGAACTGACAAGAACAGTTATAATACTTGGGTTTATTTATGTATTTCAATTCACAATTAAATCACCAAGTAAAGTTTTTGTTCCTGTGGTCAGTTTCAATAGGCATAAATTGGCTTGAAAAGTGGCCATAAAACCTGACTGAAAAATGGCTGCACATCCTACAGTGAGAGCTAGACAAAAGTGAATGAATCTCTTATCAAAGTGGAAATCAATGGATTGACTTCCACATGCTAATGACTAATGTATCAGACATTCTTATGATTATCAAAGTGGAAACTTAAAGTACATGCATCTAGAAATATGTAACATTAGAATATACAGAATGTACAAACAACCTTGAGATGTTGCCATTTCCTCTTCTCTTACCAACAACTGCCGACACCTTCAGAGTAGAGGGGACACTATAAGTTTCAGGTATACAGGATATACTTGTAGTTGTACATTATATTTACCAGTAGTTCACTTTAGCCACTATTTAAGTATGAATCTACAAAGTTGATATTACTATCTTCAGATGTCCTTGCCAAAGTGGGTTTCAGTCATATACATTATGGGTATTCTAACACATACTGTGGCAAAATCCATACTAGGCCAAATTCGTTTTAGTCTAGTGCATTCAACCTACCAAAAAGTTTTTCCTTTCACAGAGAAACATAAGCCAGGCTCCCTCCCCAGCAGCCTACTCACCTGGTTGATGCACACCACCGGCACATTGTACTTCTGGCTGACTTTCCTCAGCTGCGTGCCCAGGGACTGAAGGTCCTTCGCCCTCCGGGCTGTCTCCCGACTCTCATACTCACCACGAAACAGTGCTGTGATGGAATCTATCACAATCAGCTTTACAACTCCCCTCTCCAGTAGGAGTGGGAGTCTGGACTGGATACATTTGGACAGCTGGTCCTGTTCAACAGAGAAAGACTGGGTATATTACAAAAAACATGCACTGTGTAAGATGCAGCATGCTGAAATGTAATGGTTAAAATCTGGAACCATTTTGATAGACCCTGCTCACATTCAAAAGTTTTGTATTTGTTTCAAATAATCTTAGAGCTGTGACACCTTGTCTGCTGTGTGTTCAACAAATATCTGGTCAGAGAATCTGATTTTCTTGGTGACTTCTGCAGGGGCGAGGGCTCTTGTAGGGAACTGTTGAGCCATCTGGGCAAGCCTCTTGCTGGGGAAGGCATCCTCTGTACAGATGTACACTGCACCTTGAACATCAAACAGACACAATTGAAATATTAACTTACAGACCAAATCACAACAAGTGTATATATATCTAAATAGAATGAAGTAATAAAAGAATGAAGTTTTGGTGGTACACCTGGTAGGAATTTTCATACAGACTGTAAAATTCCTGCAATAATGTGGCAAATTGTCATAATCAATCATATTCTATGGTATTACTGTTTGAAGGAACCCAGGCTACTTACTGTTACACTGCCCAAACAATCTTTACCAACCTGCATTGAGTCCTCCCCATTTCTCTGGCAGTTGTACAGTCAGACACAGCTGCAGCCCAAACTGGGTCTTCCCTGCACTGCTCTCTCCTGAGATCTCCACCAGACCCTGGCAGGGGACACCACCTCGCAGGAACTCATCCAGAACAGGACAGCCCAGGCTCAGGAACTTCACCTTCAGCTCTGCTGGGCAGTCACCTAGCAACAACTGTAATGCTGGGGTTGGACAGAGGATAGTTGGTATAACTACTGCTGTGTATTTTAGACTCCCAATAGTCTGTAGTCTGCTACATGTACTACTAGTAAGTGTGTGTCCTGTACTCCTTTGTCTTACCTGTAGCAGCATGGATCCTGTGTCGGACAGCTTCAGACACCTCCCTCACCAGGTGTCCCACGTCCCTGGCCGACAGGTGAGTCAGACGCTCCAGGTCAGCTGGGGAGAACCTCAACACTTCCTCATACCTGTGCAGCTTGGCTGGAGAGACCAGTCATGTGACATTCATGAATGAATAAATACTAGTAGATAAATGATTTTCAAGCTCACCTTAAAACTCTAGTCAAAAACACCTCCTTCAAGTTGGTGAAGGAGTTGGTGAAGTCAAGACTCAAGGAGGTATACAATAATGTACCAACTTAACCAAGTGAAAGAAAATTATACTAAGTACTCTACTCTACATGGCACTACATAGCCTAAGGAGGCTAAATTTACAGCTAAGAGACTAGCCTGGTCCTATCAAGGAGCCTATTGAGGATATAGGATTCGGGAGCTATATATTTTTAAGGCTACAAGTAACGTTACAAGAAAAAAAAACACATACGTAACATGCTTATCTCCAACTTACCTTTCCTGGCAGCGGTCAGTATTCTTGGGTGCAGTACCAAGTCCTGGACATCTCCCATCCCTCATGGGCTTGCAGCTTCAGTTGACAGCCAGGAGGGCGTCTATTCATATAAATGTGACCTCCTTCGCGCCTCAGCAGCTCGCCTCGGCGCCATTTTGAATTTCCCTCTGCATTGATGACATGAGAAAGTGAATGGGCGTAATTTTGTAGACCTAACAAATGCATTTCACCAAAAATGATTCATCGATGTGTACCATTCTCAATATAAACTTAAATTCTTGAACTCTTTGTAGTTCTGTTCTATTTGGAATGATACGTTATTTTGTGATTTTACCATATTTTCTAGATCTCAAAATTGTTCTGTGGTGACCATTAATGACGTCATTTTCCAACATGGCAGACGACAGCTGAGAGAAGTGGTGTTTTTTCCCTTGGATTTTCCCTATAAATTTGTACTCTTTGCAAACTGAACCATGTCGTGCACCTTGAGCATAGAAGCAAACATCCAAAATGTATCTACTGTCCGAAAATTCTTGTTTCCAAACTTGCTTGAAGAACCGGTGACGAAAAGTCCAGGTTGGTAGAAACGGAAGGGGGTGGGGGGTGGTGAAGTGAGAAGCATCGATCTTTCCTTTCTTGATCATTCAATCGTGTTTATAGTGATCATTTTGAGGAACCAATGTATTTGAGAATAGCTTTATTTTCCATGATGATCATAATGTTTTGTCATCGAAATTCATTTAGATTTTGAGATCGATCATGAATTAATTGTCAACAAAAGTCATATTCTCTCATTCATCTGCATTCTACAGCAGACGATGGTTGGGAGGAAGAGGACTGGGGTTGGGGAGAGGAAGTAAGTGCATCTGACCAAGGTGGTTTATGTTCCTTGATTTGACTATCCACGCCCACAATGAAGTTTGGCCATTGATTTCAACCATCTTAGTGCCCCTTTTTCAAATGCAAGAAATACAGTCATACCAGCATGTCGGCAGAACTTACTGTGTGCAGTCGACGCGCGGTCAGGCTGGTACCTGGGTCGATACGGAATTGTATTCTATGTATAACAGCACCTCAATAGAACATCTCATATAAGGTCATACTTTTGCATATAAGGTTAACATCCCGTTTGTAGTTTCCAAATGTTATATCGGGAAATATGTCCTCTTTAACAAGAAAAATTCTGATGCAACGTTGACCAAATATCTAATGAAAACCACGAAAAATCAGGGTTTTGCACAGGCGCAGTACATTCTGCCAACGTGTCAGTTATACCGATATACATTTAACTGTTTATCTTCCTTCTCAGTTTACTGAGGAGACTCAGCAGCAGAAGAGGAAGAAGGAAGAGGAGGCCAACTCGTGGCTGGAAGATTGTTGCATCTCTCTGTCTCCCACCAATGACCTTCTGGCCCTGGCATTTGAAGATAGGGCTGTGTTCTTGTCACGTATGTATGGCTATTCCCATGCTGCGGGGAAGGTCTTGCAGCAGAGTACTTGTAGTTATTAATGACTGATCATGTTTTGTTCCAAAAAGGAATTGTTCAGTTATTTGTATAATCAGTTTATTTATTAAACGTCATGTACAAGAAATAGGCATCATACATATGTGATGGACCAAGCTTGGGAGCCAAAATGTATTTACTACTTAAATGCATTAACAGGCTAGTTAAATTTTCAAACAATGAATTTAAGAAGAATTGAGTAAAAGATGCATTTTTTCTACAGATAAATGGGATTCTGACAAACTGAAGTACCAGATGAGTTGGAAAGGACCTGTCAATCTGGAGGAAGGGTATGTTACAAATAATTAGTATGAATGATTAAACAATGGCCAACTTGTTATGTAAATTGGCATGCTGCAAATATGCATGCTGCAATATCTAGTAGCTATTGTCTATTGGATGTAAAAGACATACAACTCACAATAAGAGTAATGGTCCCTTTTAAATACTAGGTTTTTGATTGCAAGGGACTAGAACCTAAAGACAAAAACTTACCATCCTGTTTTTCTTTTCAAGGGAGTGTGTCACCAGTATCATGTGCATTCCACTTGCATCATTGAAAAGGTAGGTGGAGAAAATTACTCACTCATTTTTTAACAATTTTCTCATGATACAAATCAAACAAGTGAATTCAGAAAAGGAAGATACTTGCCTAAGTAGAGTGGGTGTATGCAAGGAGGTTCAGCTCCTTGGTCTATGTTACAGATTGTTACTATCAATACTCAAATTATTATATTATTGGATATTATCTGATTTACACATTTAAATTTGGTGGAATGCAAGGGTTAGATATTTAGAGTGGTTTGATCCCCAATTTCATGCATAGTTAAACGTGTATTGCTACTTCACAAATCTTCCATGTGTAAGGGGGAGGAGGACTCATATTTTCTATTATTCCACTAAGAATATGTATTGCTTATTGCAGGAGCTCTACAGGAGGCCCAGACTGGACATGTGTTGTGATGGGGTTCACTTCAGGCTATATCAGGATGTATACAGAGGTGGGTTGGGACACAGATAGTTAGGAGACATTT